GACTGGGTCTCTAATTTTGAGAGGTCTAATATTTTGAGCTCTTTATATATTTTAGATATTAGTCCTCTGAGGTATAGCTGGCAAACATTTTTTTCCCATTCTTTTGGTTGTTTCTTTGCTCTGTTGGTTATTTACAAAATCAGTATACAAAAATCGATAGTGTTTCTCTACCAAAATGAACCAACCAAGAAATAAATCAGAAAAGCAGTCCCATTCATGGTATCTTCAAAACAATTAAATACCTAGCAATTAACCTAACCAAGGAATTGAAGGGCCTGTATAATCATAAGTATAGTATTCTGAAAAAAGAGGCTGAAGAGGACATTAGAAAATGGATAGACATCTCCTGTTCCTCGATAGGCAGAACCAATATTGTCAAAATGGTCACGTTATTAAAAATGATATATAGATTTAATGCAATTCCTGTTAAAAATACTATCAGCATTCTTCACAGAACTAGGAAAAGACTCTCCTAAAATTTATGTGGAATTAGAAGAGACTTCAAATAGCCAAAGCAGTTCTGAGCAGCAGAGGAAAGCAGGAGGTATTACATTCTCAGATTTCAAGTTATATTAGAAAATTACAGTGACAAAAACAGCATGGTACTGGCACAAAAATAGAGATATTGATCAGTGGAATAGAATTGAGGATCCAGAAATGACTCCATATACCTTTAGGCATCTAATTTTTGACAAAGGGACCTTAAATATACTGTGGTGAAAAGAGTTTCTGTAACAAATGGTGCTGGGAAATCTGGTTGTGTACATGCAGAAGAACAAACATAGACTCATATCTCTCAACCTATACTAAAATCAAATCAAATGAATCAATATTATATATATGTACAATATTGAATTTACTAGAAGATAAAACTGATTAAACTCTTGAAGACATACATAGGCAAGAACTTTCTGAATAGAAACCTAATTACACAAGAAATAATACCAAGAAGCAACAAATGGGATTATATCAAATTTAAAAACTTCTGCACAAACTGTGTTTCATAGGTAGTTTCTTTTGCTAGCATCCAGAGTGTGAGTCCTTTTTCTCCTGCAACTGGTCTGTAGATGGATAATATTTAAAAGAAAATAATAGGTTAGAATGGGATTTTATTGTTCAATTTATATTTCTTTGACTATTAGGTTGAACATTTTTTCATAACTGTGTATTTCTTATGTGACCATTTCAGTATACTTTTGTCAACATAGCATGACAAATATATTAGGTACAGTTTCACTGGAGAGACTCTCCAGTGATATACACCACACTTTAAAAAATATATTTTAATTGTAGCATAAAATAATACTTTGTTAATGATGAATGAAGCTTGCATAGTTGGCACTCCTTTTTTTTTTGTTTTGAGTTATAGTAAAGGGTTTTTCAGCTATTTTCATGGCCCTCCACACATTCTACCGTTGGTTCTGATTATGTGGTGTGCTCCTCTTGCCAACTTCAGTGACTACTGCACTCATGTATATTTTTTTCTGTCCATCAGCTCCATGTCTGGGGAGTGATGGCATTGGCTGATGATAGATTAACATCTTTTGGTAGGAATATAATTCTGCCACCATAGCTGCTTCTGAATTGTGGGACTTAGTGGTTAGGTGACCAGTCAAGTTAGCCCTGGTCATCATGTTTGATCTCCTTTTGAATTATCAATAATAATTGAAGAGAGTGCCAAGTTTTTACCAATAATGAAAATCAAATATTTCTATTTTTATTATAATCATATTCTTTAACTTTGCTTAGTTTAACATTGATGACACATTGAAATCCTGAGATGGTTGCTAAATGTTTTATATGCTTAAAAAAGCCATGGAAATCTTTCAGATATATCTCATCTTAAGTCTTGATAGCTCTGCTGGAGTTTCATCTTTTATTGCTCAAAGTAATTGAAATTAATAGCAGAAGACTTTGTGTATGTGTACTAGTAAAACTCATGCTGAAAAGTGTAATGTTATCTTATTAAAAGTATGTAGGCCTAGTTGGGGTAAGTAAGAGAACATTTTCCTTTCTGTATCATATGACAGTTGGAAATAATTTAATGTTGCTCTTAACTTTATTTAATGCTACTAAGATTTTCTGTTGTAAATTCAGATACTTTCTATTTTCACCTGTTAATACTTACCAACTGATTTTAATCCATGAAAAAGATTTTGAGGTACCTAGGCCTGTGGTAAAATTTAAAAAATGGTTTAGAAAGGTATTCCTGAAATCATGCTTTCCCTGGAAAGGTGGGGCAGAATGGTACTGGATAGGGGATGGGCGAGAGATGGAATGGGAGGGTACTGAGACTTTATACTGTTGTAAATATTTTATTAATTAGGAACATATCTCAGGATGATATTATTAATGTTAACTATTATAGGTATATGTGTATATAATCATATTATACATTTTAAACATTTTTATAAATTAAAAAGACCTATAACAATTTCAGTTTTAACTTTTAGTCAAATTGAAGCTCAAATTGTCTGACTTATCATTTATATTCAGTGTTGTTATCTATAAAATAACTGATTATTATTAAAATTATGGTGTTCTTAGAAAAATCAAGTTGCCCTGAAGATAATTGTTTTGGACCTTGTCCTCAGCAGCAGCCATTATAGTAAACACATTGTCTTTTTCAACATTACCTTTTTATGTTCCCTGATGATTTCTTAACTTCAGTTTAGCTTCTACACTTATGACTTACTAAGATGAAAATTATACTATCAATTATATAATTTTATAAGAAAGAGAAAGATCTCAGGCATAATTGTTCTTCTCTTTTACACAAGAGATGGAATGAATCAGGAAACCAAACCTCTTACTCTGAGGCCAATGGCTTGATTTGTTTTCAGGACACCCCCCTTCTCCCTCCCCTTTTACCAGGGACTGGACCTTGCGCTTGTGAGGGCAGCGTGGTGCCACTGAGCTAAATCCCTGGCCCTCAGGACTCTTTATTAAATGTAGCATAGATATATCACTTAGTTTTATTTTTTCCTAGGGCCTAGTTAGGATTTCTTATTACTACTTAGTATTCTTCCTTTCTGTGACATTTTTATATCAAGGAAATGACATGAAATGAGAGGGAGTTGAAACCATAGGTTCATGTAGGCCGTGGCCTGCTCCTGGCTTTAGTGATTGTTACTCATTGTTAGGATTGTCCACCAAGTGTGTAACGGACAGCAGGGTCAAGTGGAATGAGTGTGGTATTGGAGATAGAGGAGGCTGGTTGAGTCCTGGGTCTGCATCTTGGTTCTGTGGTTCATAGTCACTGTATGGAGTTGAATATGTTATTTAACATCTTTTAGCCTCCGCATCCTCTGTAAATTAGGGGTTAAAAGTGTTCTTTCTTTGTTAGTTGTTATGAGAATTAAATTGGATTATCTATACCAGCATAATAGCAGAGTTTAAGAAAATGTTGGCTCTTTCTGCTTTCACTAATAGAAAAATAGTGTAAAGTATTTGAACTTGAACTGAAAGGTCATGAGATATATGCAGAAGTGATTTCCTGAGTTTTAAATACAGACTTTACATGTAAGATTTCTTTTGGTATTATCTTTATTCCCCTGGACTTAAAACAGTTGTGAGCTGGGAAAAGCAAAGCCACACAGTCGCTTCAGCTTTAGTTTCTTGTTTCTGCTTCATGATGTGGGAGGGAAATGCATCATGGGCTTGGTTCCTTTGTACTTACGCATAGAAAGGGGTGAGAACCACGGAATAGGTGCGGAAGGAAGTGGAGAGTTGTGGATACAGGAAGAAGCAGGGGTATTGACAGAACGTTCTGTAACCCTGTCTCGCCTAGCGTGAAGAAATTGGACATTCTCATGCAGTCAGAACGGAGTATATTTTGTTTTGAAAAACCTAAACTCATAGCAAGGGTCCTTGCTTGTTTCTTTATATATTTAGTTTTATTTTATATCATGAAAGCATAATTGCTTTCATTAATGTTCTGGGATCTATACACATTTAGTGCATTCTTTTTGTCTTCTCTTTAGATATATAGTCATGTGCTTCCACCAGCTTATCAGAATAAAGGTCCAAAAATTCATAATATTCTGTCATTAAAAGAATAGTTTTATTGTACTGTACTTAACAAGCCAGAGATAAAAGGCCAGATAGTTTTTTAGATTATACTAATTAATGTTAGAATAACATTGAGTTAACCCTCCTTTATGCAGAAAATAAATTATTGGAATACTCACTAAGCTTTCACTTTTGATCAGTTGAATTTTCTCTGATGCTTCTTTATTCTAAATGTATTTGATTGTCTTTTATTGAAAGGTTTTTTGAAACTTGAGATTTTTTTTTGCATGAAGTAATTTTCTTATACATTAAATAGGTAATTGAAATGAAGAGGGAGAAAAGCATGCTTTGAAAATTTTCCATTGGTGAAATTATATTCTGGCTGTTTGGCTTTCTATTTTGTTGGTAATGTTGAAGATGTCATCTTCTTACAAATGCATTATTGTAAAAGTTGTACCTCTATTGCATCATTTGTTTAATTCTAGTTTTGAAATGAAAATGCATGAGAATTTTCACTGTACACTGAATGGGAGAATCTTACTGTAGACTGTTATGTATCTGTAATGTTTTTATATTTAAGGTACTTATAACTTAGTAGAATAGACATCAAACCAATAAGATAATTGCAAGTCTTAACTTTAGAGAATGTCTATTTTTCTCATTTACTTTGTAGATTTTTTGGTAGGATTAAGTGAGATATATATGTAGGTGGTTTTAAAAATTGGAAGCATTTCACACATCTGAGGAATTATTTGGAATTGTAAACATGATTAAAACTGTGCCTGAGGAGTTGTTCTCTTAAAGCAGAGAAAACAAAGGAGGGAGAATTACATGGGGAAGTAACTTCTGATATTTTGAAGCTGTGTGCGTACAAATTATGATATGCTGGAGGACTAATGCAATAAATATGTAAAAATATCAAATAGTAAATACTCTTACTTTTGTGCTTTTTACTGTTGGACTGATCTTGACTTGGATTTACTTTTAAGGATTTGTATACATCAATGGCAGAATCATCGAGTGATTCAGAGCACTTTCGCTATCGTGACCAATTGAGTCGATGGGCTACCAGGTCAGCTCACAGGGAAACTCGAAGTCACCCTACAGTAGATGTCGCAGAGAAGGTCAACACTATAACAAGTACTTTACAGGTTTGTTAAATAGCAGTTGCATTTAATAGATTTTAAATAGTTTGAGTAGAGTAATAGTTTACTATAACAAAATTACCACGAAATTAATATCTTAAAACAACAAAACCTGTTATCATATAGTTCTGTAGGTCAGAGTCTGTGAAAACATAGTCCTTTGCCTTTTCCAGCTTTTAGAGGCTTTCCGCATTTCCCTCCTTGTGGCTCCCTTCATTTACCTTCCAAGTCAGAAAGGGTGGGTTGAAGTATTCTTCTACTGTATCGCACGAACTACTTCTGCGTTCCTTGTCCTCCCCGTACCCTGCAGTGCTGGGAATTGAACACAGGGCCTCTTGCATACTAAGGAAGTATTCTTCCACTGAGTTATGTCCCCAGCCCCCCCTATTACTCTTGTAAGGATGTTTGTGATTTCATTTAGTCCACTCAGTAATCTAGGAGATTCTCTATATCTCAAGGTCTTCAATCATGTTCATAAAATCCCTTTTGTTATATAAAATACATATACACAGGTTCTGCCTAACATTGTAAAGATATTTGAGATACATGAAGTTGTTGAGAGTGTTGGGATAAAGCAATATTTCAAAATAAAATATTGTGGAGTTAACATAGTTTAGCTTCTTGTGCACATGTACCTCTAGAGAAGTTTGTGAAGTAGATTATTCCTGGGTGAGTAATACATATAAAGATACAGTCTTGATCTAGGGGCTAACTTTTGACATTGTTTGGATGTTTGAGTGGAGGCAGTTATGTATCCTTTCCACATAAAGAGCTTGGGAAAAGAGTGATGGAAGGGTAGAACAGTCACAGTAGGAAAAAGAGAACACAGAAATCTAAATTTTTTCTTATTCTTTCATCCCTTATTTTTACCTTACCCTGGGTAAGCATGGATCTTCGCTGTTAATGGCTTTTGGTTAACATGTTTAGATGAAAAGAAAGTTATTTCTGGTGGAGAAGGTATAATTTGATTTAAAAATAAGAAGGTTTATTCTTTTTAAACTAACACAACAACGGAATTTTAAAGTATGAATCCTTTCACTTTCCCATCAATGAGACACATTAGTAAGCTAGTGTATTTAGGTGGAAAACATTTTCTTTTGGTTATGATTAGAGGACTTAATTCATTGCTCATGGGTAAAAATTACGGCATAGTTTTTCTTCTTTTCAAATAAGTTCTGAGGTAAAGTAATATATACTTGAAATAACATTGATCCTAATGGTTTGCTTCTTGTACAAAATCTACTAGATTTGCTTTTTTAGAATTTCTTTTCTGTATACAGGGTATAAGAGGTACACAAATTGATAATGGGAATTCTTTTTAGTTTGTGGTTTTATTGCCACTTATATAATACCTTGGATAAGAATTTATGTGCTTCAGATTTCACAGGAGTAAACTGCAGATGGATTTCAGTTTTCCTTACAGTGATGTTAATCTTTATTTGATAAGAAATACATTGATACCCAACTTAACTGTGTTATAGATTGTACATTTTACAAACCTTTCTCTTAGCTCTTTGACACAATGGGAAGATTGATTTGGAAACGTAGTGTTTAGAATAATTAATAGAGTCTTTTTTTTTCCTCAAGGACACCAGTCGGAACCTGCGACAAGTGGACCAGATGCTTGGGCAATATCGAGAATATAGTAGTGGACAAGCGGGTGCTATAGAACATGTGAGAATATTTAGATATATTTGCATTTCTACTTACCCACTCTTTTGGGAATGTATTTTTTGGGCGTGCAGATGTAAGATAAATGAGATAACCGTTGTGAACAACTTTAATTTTTTTTTTTTTTTTTGATACCGGAACTCGGACTCTCGGACCTTGCGCTTGCAAGGCAGGTGCTGGAACCACTGAGCTAAATCCCTGGCCTGAACAGCTTTAATTTTAAAACTACTATTTTATAGTTTAAATTTGGGTTAGTTTATTGGGTAGAATGCCACGTAGCTTGTGTAGGTTAGATTTTGTTGAGTTGGAAAGCTTTAAGTCAGAGAGGGAAGATTTTAGGACATGAATTAAATAGAGACTTGTTAAACTTAGGCCACAGATACTACTCATATGGAGATAGGAATTTTAAGAGTGGTGTATTTTAAAGTAATATATATGCATTGTTTTAAAAAAATAAAACTGCCTGAAAACCCTTCTCAGTCTCACTCCAATGAGGCAACAGTTCTAACAGTTTCTTGTATGTGTATCTTTTTTTTTTTCCATTAAGTTTATTGGTACATTTTAGTTATACAATACAGTTACATTCATCATTGGGATCTTGTCTTATACATGTATCTTTTGAAACATTTTCTGTGTATATGCAGGTATATTTGTGATTGTTTTAAACATTGAAATACTATAAAATATTATGCAAAGTGTTTCATTTGAGTATGATACTTTCCATATAACTTTGTGTAGCTCTAGCTTTTTCTTTTGAACAGTTATACAGTATTCCTTAGTATGGATGTATCTAGTTTTTCTTCGATGTTATAAATAGTGTATTGGTGACCATTATCGTACACACTTTTTGTGTAATCTTGTAGGATTCCTGGGAGTGGAATTGCTGGGTTAAAGGATAGGTGGCCTCAGAAGTTTATTGGACAGTTCAGAGATGCCCTTTCAAAGGTGTGCCAGTTTATGCTTACTTTGCATGGGGATGTAAGAAGGAAAGATCCATCAGAATTCTGGAAGAAAGTGAATTTTTATTTTATTTATTTATTTAAAATTTATTTTTTAATTTTTTTATTTTTTGGTACCAGGGATCGAACTTGAGGCAGGTGGCAGAACCACTGAGCTAAATCTGTGACCCAAAAGTGAATTTTTTAAATAAATGCTTTGCTAATTCTCCATATTTTTCCTTCTTTTGGTTTTTGCTTACTTTTTCAAAACTTGTGTAAACTCTTGGAAAGCTAGTTAAGTTTATTCCTTCATGTTTCCTATCATGACTATGTATTGTAATAAGACTTAATGTTATTGTTTTACTATAATAATTGTTTTAGATATATCTGTGCTGTACTAAATTGTCACATAATTCCCATGTCATAATTGATGACATGTTTTTCTTTTACAAAAGTATAGGCATCATTATTTGCTTGTTAATTGGAAACTAATTGCTTGAGCACAAGGACACATTTTCTCTGGTAAAAGGTTTCTACTCCTTTCATTTAGACAATAAATTTCAACATTTTTGCGTCTACAGGATTTTTGTGATTTATGATATACTTGAAAGATGGAGCAATAGGCTTTGTGTATTTGGTAGCTCATAAACTGTTTTAGATTAATTACCTTATTAATAGTGGAATTAATTCTCTGCTTTCTAATTTATTCATGAAGAATTGAAAGCATTATTGTTAATTGGCAGCAAAGCACAGTCCTACATTGTCAATTTTATGTGGTTGCAAATTTCCTTTGAATTGGGCAATAGGGAAATGAAATTATGTGTCAGGGAAACTTTTGTACAGATAAACATTTAAAGCATAAACTGTGTTCTACTGTGGCATTAAGTCTCTGTGGTAGGACTAGAATTGAATAATGCTGAAGTGTCTGGGGACTTAGAATTGAATAATGCTGAAGTCTCTGGGTTTTATTCATGGGAAGTAAACTCAACTGATATTTACAGATATTTCCATCTTTGTTGTAAGTGCATAGACTGTAAAGCTACTCATATTAAAAAAAACACGAGACATCAGACAGCAAGCATCTTTTGTTTTTGCTTCAGGGTTTTCCTTAGTTTCATTTAGTTTTTCTCTTTAGTTTCTCCAAATTATTCTTCTGTTAAAACAGTCAGTTCTCAACAATTTGTCCCTCCATCATATTGAAAGACTATGTCACACATTGCACTGAGTATAGTGGTGGTTTTCACCCTGCCACTTAGAAGTTACTGTGGAAGGAGTACAAGCACCTGCCATAACCTATGGAGAGACACAAAGTGAGAGAGAATTCTTCATAGTGACTAATGGGCCAGTCCTTCATTGAAAATTGCTTTTGTAAAAAGATTGACTGCTGTGGGATATTATCTTACCTGAAAATAGTTATATATAATGTGCCAACTATCATGTGATTTATGTGAATCTTTCTGTTTATAATCTTAGTACAAATCCTTTTGCTGTGGAACATACTTTGCATTTTTTAATTCCTGTAATAGGTTAATCCATTTTAACCAAGGTTCAACTATGAAAAAAACTTCATCATGCTAAATATTCATTGCCTAGTTGTAATTAGCATTTTTCTTTTAAAATATAAAGAGATTTCCTAGCAAATGAAATCAATTCCTTTGCCCTAGGGACGACCGGAACTTTTGTTATTAACTTAGATTTCATAAATAATTGTATTGCTAAACCTTAGGAAATGGATATAAATGACAAATATGTGTTTACATATTTATTTACTTGAGGTTTAACTTTGGGAACATAGTTTTTCAAAGAGTGGGTGAAAGAGTTTGGAAATACAAATATTTGGTGCAATGTTTTCCTCTTGAGATGATCTCCCCTCACAAGGGAACTGTAAGAATTATCCTTTTTGGTCTTACAAAGCCATGAACATGTTAGGTCACTTTTTTGATTACTTTTCCTTAGTGAAATATTTATGATTTCTCTGTTGCTTGCTTGAGCCTTTATAACCTCCAATCCCAGCCGGGGGTTTAGCTCAGTGGTTCCACTGCCTTCCTCGCAAGCACAAGGTTCCAAGTTTGATCCCCAGTACAAAACAAAAACAAAAACAAAAACCTCCAACCCCAAATTTAATTCTTTGCTTATAGTATGTACAGGCCTCTTGGTGAGGAATTGAGCTGAACTGTATTGGTGTCTCTGTTTTTTTGTACAGGAGTGGACTTAAATTTCTTGGTCTATGGGAATTTCTCCAAAAGAATGTGTCCTAGACATTTTTTCTTTGTTACTTAATTCTCTTAACAATGCTATGAGATGGTATAAAGATAAGAAATTATTTTGATTCAAATCAGCATATTAATTTAAGTTCACTTTTACAGTAAAGAATATATAAAATATCAAAGTAGAGACTTACATTAATAGATAATTTTTTTAAATTAAGTACTCTGATTAAAATGTCCCTATGGGTCACAGAATGGTCACTGTCTTGCCCAGGGTCTGTTTAGGTGACAGAGCCAAGAGTAGCTTGCAATTTTAGAACTCAGCATCAAAATTCATTTACCTTACTGAGTCATGCTGATTCATATTTCATGAGTTATAAATTTATATTTCTGATAATTGGGATTCAAATTTGATAATTACACCTTGAGAAACTAGATGTTGGAGATCATCATAACTTACTACAAAACAGAAGCCCACTGTCACACAGCTCAATATTACAGAGGATACAGTGTCTAGAATGTGAGTGAGATGCAGCAGATACAGAAACAAAATTGGGAAGAAGTCTGGCCCTTAGGATTGGCATTGAGGTGTTGTCAGAGGTAGCAGTTGTGGTTGCCACCTAGGCAATGTGGTAGATTCTGTGAGTTGCTTGTATTGGCACTGATTTTTCTTTCTTCCTAATAACAACCATTGATTTTTTTTTCACTACACACTCTTGGGCCGCCCTAGTCAATAAGCCGTGTTTAATTGGCTAGTGTGACTGATGGTCTTTGGGCTTCATGAACTTTATGACCTTAAGGAAGGAAGGGTCATTGTGCAGCATTTTTCTTGCAATGAGTGTCTTTGGAAGTCTGAGAACATTTGGGCCAAAGAGTATTTGTGAATAAAGTTTTATTTTAAAACTTGCTATGAGGATTTGGAACAAATTATACGTCTGAGTTGTAGAATACTTGTAGAACTGTGCAATTGATTAGTAATTAAACTACTAGAGCTGTGTGTTCCTATTCATGAGAGAACAGGGTATATCTTTGTGCTAATGCTGTAAAAAATGGAGTGTCCTGAAGAAAGAATATTCATCATAAAAACTTAATATCTTCTGCAATAGAAATTTGCCTGATATTGATGAGGTTAAAATAGTTAATACTGGATATAAATGAAAAATACAGTGCTCTTGATTCAAATCAGCATCTCAAGTTCATGTTTAGAGTAAGATTGAATAGACAGTAATATCAAGTCAGAGTTTACAGACATATTAATGGGCAATTTTTCCTCTAATTAAATACTCTGATTAAAATTTCCCTTTGGGAGTAATAGAATGTCACCATCTGCTGTGTGAACTTTGTAGGAATGTTGAATGTTAAATAATAAAGTCCAGGTTTTTTATTTTTAATGGGTTTCAGTTGTCAAATATGCTTAGCAACACCACAGAAGGATAATGTTAATGGTTTAAAGCCAGACACTAGCCATTTGTCATATCCCTAACTTGAAGGTATCTGTGGCCAAGCTTCATTAGTTCCTTAATTGTTTTAAGGTGGGAACTGTTCACCATCATTCAGTAACTTTTAGCATTAAGTAGTGAGTCAGTGGATGAGAAATTTAACCAAACAATTCTGTTAAGACCTTTTGTTCGGTAAACATATCTTAGATTTTTTAGAATTAGGGTCTTAAATTATCTGCTTTAAAATTTTATTCCTGAATCTCTCATGAATTTCCTGAATAGGAAAATAACTTTTTACTGAATTTTGCCTTAGTCTAGTAGAAAAAATGTAGTATTTGGAGTCAGAATGGAAATTAAATCCTTATTTTTCTTCTGGAAATTACCTCAGTGACTTTGGGTAAGTTACCAAAGTTTTCTGAGATTGAGTTTCATTATTTGAAAAATGAATATAATCCTAGATACCTCATTCTAACAAACATTTGAGTGCTCATACTGTTTTGGATACTTACTAAGCATTTATAATTTTTTCATCTGATGATCTCTGCCATCAAGCATTTGCTAGGTTCTTAATATACATTATAGTCACTAATTCATCTTACTTTCCTTTAATTCATTGGGCCTGACTTCAGTTTCATGCGTGTGACCCTGTGGCTATAAATAACATAATGTGTTGCAACATTTACAATGAAAGGTGTATATATATTATTTTGACTTCAAACTGTGTGCTGAATTAGACAGCACACCTACTAATGCTTTCATCTTTATGTTTGTGAGTATAGTATATCATCTGTCCTTCTAACATACAGTAATATACCACTGTGAGGGGTTCCTTCCACTTGCCTTGAATGTACATTTGCATTTAAAATATTATATGGAAAGCAAATAACTTATTTGACATCCTTTTTAGAGTGTATGTGATATATAGGAATTTGAATATATACTGTTTCATTTTAAAATAGTTACATAAACAGTATTTCACTTGAAGAGATATTCTAAATTTTAGGAATACTAATATAGGCTTATATTTCTATAGGCCAGTATATATAGAGAGGTTAGGCACAGCAGTGGGGGCTAGTGATCTTGGGGTTATAAAATACATAAAAGCAGCAACCATTTAAAAGTACATTTCAGGCCAGGGATTTAGCTTAGTGGTTCCCTCGCCTGTCTCACAAGTGCAAGGTCCCAAGTTCAATTCCCTGTACCAAAAAAACCCCCCAAAACAACCAAAATTCTAAAAGTACATTTCAGAAACTGGTAGACCAGAAAGATATGCAAGTCATACATTAGTACTCTTGTTTGATTTTATAAAAATTATTGTCCTCATTTTAATATTAAAACATAACTGTTGTTGTTAGCTAAAATAGTACTGATAAAATTAACTCTACCACCAATCTCTCTCTCTCTCTCTCTCTATATATATATATATATTTTTTTTTTTTTTTTGAGGGGAGGTACTGGGGATCGAACTCAGGACCTTGTGCTTGCGAGGCAGGCGGACAACCAATCTAGTTTTAAGTCTGTTGCCAGATCAGTCGTGGCATTCTGTAGAAACAGGTAGTAAGGGAAAGTCAAGAACAAAATGCCTATTAGTTAATGTGCCTAAGAATTACATTTTTATCCCAGACAGAATCCTTAAGATGATCTCTCTTCTACCTCCAATTTTGTCCTAGATTTTGCCAGTCTGACCCCTAACATTTGTAAATCGAAGTATGTACTGAATTTTCTTATATCAACATTATGTATCTAAACCTACAACACAGTCTGACTCCTGTGATCATCAGTGCTGTGTATGAGTGTTTGCTAAATCCTTACTCTGTGATGTTTCTTTTCAAGTGGAAACACAACTGAATGGTTAGATGAAATATTTAAGTGTTTCCAGTTTATGCTCAGCATGTAACTAAGTGAATCTAGTTTTCTACACATGGCCAAATTTTCATGTCTTTCTGAATAATCTATGTTGTGTTAAAGGATGTATTTTCTTAGTATGAAAATAAAGAACAATGTAGAGTAAAAAATGTTTGAAGAAACTAAATAGAATTGTAAATGGTTTCCAAAATTCAAGCTTACTTTAAATTGCAGCATTTAGTGTTACGTTTTTTTTAAGTTCTCTTTTTCATTTGTGTAGAAACTAATTTGATGAATGCTTGATAGCTGTTATATCTGTGTTGGTAATAATTGTTCCTCATATTTTGCTCTCATGGTCTCTGTGAAAGTAATGGTAGGCATTACCCATAGGGAAGAGTACCTGTTCTTGTCCAGATGATCTCCTGTCACAGTGTTTCAGTGTAGTCCTTTGGGTTTTATATACCTCTTCTCTTAGCTCAGTAATGACCTACATTTTGTCTCTAACCAGAGTTTTTTCAAACAGAGAAATTACAGAGCTTCTAGAGAGCTCTGAGAATTAAAAAAAGTTGGTGTTAAAAAAAAAAAGTTGGTGCTTTTATTTTAATGATAATCCAAAAGCTTTTATAGTTTTTTTTTACATTTTATATATTTACTAATTTCTAAAACAATGAGTTGTTTCCCTGTGTCCTGTAGTGATGACAGATGACTCCCCACCCTTGAGTATCATTGTTAACTCAGTCATACTTGAAATGTTTTAACCTGTTGCAATTAATATTTTTTTGAGCACTCAAATTGTTTCATCGTTTTATAGAGGGGGCCTACTCACCTTGATTCTTAACTATAAAAACATGTCTTGATCTGAATAAACAAGCTTATGTCCTTGCTTTGGCAGTATGTATACTGAATAAACAACCTTATAAATAAGCATTCCATTCAAGTTCAGAGCCACTAGCACGTTTCCTGTGCCTGTTTTTGTTTTTTTAGGGAGGGGTAAATGAGGGGGAATGGAATCATCACGTGGTGTGTGGTGAGGTAGTAATATTAGACTCAACAGCCTATACCATTGTAGTCAGTACTGCAATCTTGGATTATGTATTGATTTGCTTTAGCAAAATGCTGTCATTTATTCTAGAAAATTGTTAAATTGAGTTTTATTAGTATTATTTTGTTTTTATTTAATTTTAAGTTTGGTTTGGCTTTGTACCTAGTTAAGAGTTATGGTCCTAAAGAGTTTAAAGCAATTCTTATGACTTTGTATTTCATCCCTTTATTCCTTTGCTTTTGTGCTGTAGGAGTTATCACATTGGTTTTCTATATTGCAGTCAGATTTTGTGCAGTATCTTTTGAGCTGTTACTATTCAAGTGTAAATGTTCATTCAGTTACATTTTTAGTTTTATGTGTTAGGTGAAGCACCTGTTATTGCCATGAAGCATAACTTCATGGAATAACTTAAAGTAAGTCTTTTATTTCATTCATCTGCCTTTTACATTATATCATTTGGGCTGTCCATCCCCAATGGGTTCAGACAGATAGATCTTTTTTATAGTTTTGGAATTAGATTACCAATTTGTTTTTCTATATTTTTATCTCGTTTCTGAAATGATTAATTTTCCAGTGCTTTTTATCCCTCCTAGATCTTGATGTTATGTTTCATTTCTCTTGTTCTACAGTATTTTTCTGTGTCCTCCAGTGGCCTTTTTTTTGGTATGAGTGTGTGTATGTATGTGTGTGTGCACGTGTATACATGTGTGTAAGTGAAAATTCATTTTATTCAAAAACTTTTAGTTCCAGCTTAGGATTTGTGGGATGTGAAAAATAATTAGCCTTTTTTTCTTCCAGAAATGAGAGGAACAAAAAAGGTAGATACCTGAAATTCTACTTCTGTTGATTTAGATTGTTTTAGCCTTAAAACAACTTTGGAAACAGCCAAAATGAAAAAGGATTTGCTTCGTTTGTGACTCATACTCTGTTGAACCTGTGCTTTGTGTCGACAGAGGATTTCTTTCTACATGGTTCCCTAAGTTACCCAACTTGTTGTCTCCCTGAATATTAGTTCTGGCTTTTAATCCTCTTCAAATTTAGGGAACCTTGCCTTCTTGATCAATTTTTTAAAAAAATTTTATTTAAAGAGTTTTAGATAACTTGCTTTATTGATCAGGCAGTATTTTAAAAACAATTATTTTTTATTATCCTTGGATAAAATATCTAGACCTGAAGTTTTTCAGCAGTTCAGACTGATCTTTGAACATCAGACTATATGTCTGCAATGGATGTGGATTTTCCTCAGCTTTATTCTTTGTTCCCTTGGTGTTACTTGAATCTTCTCAGGTCTGTAGGTATTGTGTATCTCTGGACAGTATTCTCAATATTTAGCATGTTTTTATTTAAAAATAGCTCTTTAGGTCTAAAAAGGTGTTTTCTTGTCTACTGCTCACAGATTCCCTAATCATCTGAAGAAAGCATTTGGACAACAGTAATCTCTAGTGTGAGCTGACAGTTTTAACATCTGTCCCAATAGTTTTCTAGGCTTTTCTAGTTTTCTAGAAGTCTTTGAATGAATGAAAGTTGTATTCTGATGCAGAGTTGGGTGTTATATATTGTTTCATAACACCAGGCACTGACAACATTCAGTCTCCTGTTTGTTACAGTTCTGGGGTTGCTGAAAAAAATGGTTAGGCTTTCTCTCTTCTTTTGTATGTGTTGTTGTTTTATGTTTCTTTGCTGGGTGGTACATTCATTAGACGCTTCAGTCTTACAGTAGACATTTCTTCCATGCTCATAGAAAGACGCCATTTAAAGCCAGATGTTAGCATTGGTTTTAAAAATGTTTATGTTTGCTATTTTTATATTTCCCTACAGAACTTAGTTCAAATGTCTCTGATCATTTATTTTCTTGGGGAAGCCAGATATTTTAAAATCTGTAGTCTATTTATATTTGGACGTTGTTTAAAAAGAGTAACTTTCCCTTCATTATATTCTATAATTTAGTTAAAAGAAAGCTTGGAACAATCAATAGGCCAGCTGCGGAATCAACGTTTATTGAGAAACTCAGGAGGGAGAAGTATGTCTGTTACAAGTCTGAGTGCAAGTGACCTTGATGGTGGCACTATGGCAGGTAAACTCTTCAGATGTTCTGAAAACATTTGTAAAAGATTTCTAAAGGACATATTGAATTTGTTTAATCTTTGGAGAAATATAATACATCCAGTTTAGGTATTAGAATATGTAGTTGTCAAGGATTTTATAGTGCGTATTTAGAATTTTATTGAAGGGTCTTTGTTATTCTGAGTCTGTTAGTTTTGGTTTTTCTAAGTCTATAGATTACCTGGAGCTTTACCAGAGAAAGCTTTAATTTTATTTGTTTGCTGCCGAAGAATCAAATACATAAATAAGATGTGCTATATGGCATGTTTTCTAGGTTAATGATCTCATCCTAGTGTAACAGTGTTTTAAATGCCTGATTGTATACTATTCTAAGACACTTGTTAAGAATAAATGAATTTTTTTTTAGCCTTGGTCTGCAGCTAAATGTCAATGGCTAGGTTAAAAGTTATAATATGCTGAGTTTGCTTATAATTAATCTTACTTATTCTTTCCTGTAGCACTGAGATTCATGTTTGAACAGAAGGGTCTTCAGTGAGGGGAGCTAATTTAGATAGATTGAACATTAGTACCTTGCATTGTTAATATTGCTGTTGCTCATCATAATAATGATTAAGAGTTGGACATGATCATTTACTTTTTATATATTTAGTTGGCTTTTATTGATTTCCATACACTATTTAGAATTTAGATTAATTTATTACGTGCAACATTCTGTTTTGTTAGTATTAAATTACATTTTAGGGAGGCATACTATTTTTAAAAATTTAATTATTTTAATTTAAACATGTTGCTTCTTTGGAAAAACAAAACACTGGAATGTTTGCCGCATTCTGTTTCCAGGTTAGTTCTGTTTTTCTGTTTTAAGAGCCAGAGTGGTACCAATATTGTGGAATTTTATGGCTGCTGTAAGTTCAGTATTTGAGAAGCAGACTAAATTGAGGATATGTATGTATATCCACATCTGATGTGCATGTGCAAATAAAATTTTGGATCATTTCTTTTCATGCATTGTCTTAATTTCCTTCCTTACCTTTCACTTGCAGAAGGTCACCGTTTTCCACCTACCTCACCTCTCAAGGACTATGATCCACAGGGTAATAAAAGAATTAAGTCCAGAACTGGTGTCCGGTTTAGTTGGGAGACCGAAGACATGGCCCAGGTACTTTGTACCATCTGTAATTTGTATGGAGCATTTCCGTATATTTCTATATATGTCTAAAACTTGAACTTTGTGTCACATTTTAACCAAAAAATTATTTACAATGACTTTGCTAATTTTTATTTTAAACCAGGTAAATTATTTTATTTTCTGTGCTCTAAGGTTTCTCATACATTTATGTTGAGTTTTGTTATGGAGGCTCATATTTTGAAGATTTAAAAATGAGTTTAGGGGCCGGGCATTTGGCTCAGTGGTTCTGCTGCCTGCCTTGCAAGCACAAGGTCTCGAGTTTGATCCCTGGTACCAAAAAAAAAATGAGTTTAGCTGGACATGTGTAATCCTTCCCTGTGCAGGTGGCTTACTCTTTTGAAAGCCCTGCTAAGTCAGCTACTTACCATTTTGCTAAGTTTGAAGAGACATGAACAAATTAGTCTTCGTGTAGTTGACCCATTGATTTTCCCAGCATTAGTGTTTTTTTTTTTCTTTTCTTTTTGTTTCTTTTTGGTACCAGGGATCGAACTCAGGACCTTGTGCTTGCAAGGCAGTTGTGGTGCTACTGAGCTAAATCCCTGGCCCCAACGTTAGTGTTTTTCTGATTGTTTTGCTTTTTGAGATAGGGTCTCGCTATGTAGTTCAGGCTGGCCTTGAACTCACTATGTAGCCCTGGGTGACCTTCAACTCCCAGTGATCTTCCTGCCTCAGCCTCCCAAGTGCTGGGATTACAGGCATGCACCACCACACCTGGCCTGTTTTTCTGATTGTTGAATCATCGATGGAGCTACTTTCTATTAAGTCCGTACTTTATTTATTCACTGATGATTTCTGAATAATTAGTTCTGTGATGTATTTCTTTTTCTGTGTCTATAAAGTTCTTTAAAGAGCTGAAATTTTTTTCTTTCATTGTCTTAGGTAGTAAATTAATTTAAAAGGGTTGGGGAATTTTCTGACTTAGATATCTTTGTTTTGGCACTTTTAGGATTCAGTGCTAAAATTTTGTCTTAGAGTACTCATCTATTCCTTTCATTTTCTCTAGCAGAAGATAAAGATAGAACCGAACAAAATGAGTTGGAAATATTTTGTAGAAAGTTTTCTTTGACAGTATTATTGTCATCATTGCTTTATGGTTTATTTTGGAAACAAAATCTTGCTCTATATTCCAGGCTCCTACTAATGGAGTAGATTTAAAAGCTGTTTAATGGATTAAACTGACAGGTCTTGAAGATCAGATAGCCAAGTAAAGAAGGTAGAAATGAGTGAAATGGAAGCATCAAGGATGAATCCTACAATTTTGGTTTGCAAAATTGGATATCTTTTATTTGTCCACTATACTCCCTCTACTTTCTTTTATTGTTCTTCCTTATTTTAAGTCCATTTTCTTTTTTTCTTTTAAGTCCTTTTTCTTAACGTGACTTTTAGCTCCCCTGAACGGTGTACATTCTTAATGCCCCAGTGAAAATTTATAGCTTGTTTACGTATCTGTCTTCCATGTTACCTTGTAAGCTATTTGGTCTCCTAGCAGGTACTGGCACTGATTGATTGTTTAATGTATATTTGTTTAAATGAATCATTTATTTCTGCAAAACTGTATAACTTAAACATTTATATTATAAATTATACATGTACATCTATAGCACATATATTTACAGATAAAAATATAATAATGAGATTGAACACCATGTATCCACCATTCAGGCTGAGAAATGGAACATTATCCTACCTTCAAGCTTCTTTTATGTTCTTTTTTCCCCCAAGGAGTTTGCACTATTCTGACTTTTATATACTTTTATATGTCTTTTATAATTTTTTAATAATCATTTTTACTTCATCTTATTTAATGTTGCCTGCCTTTAAACTGCATATAAATGGAATACTACTGAATATCTTTTTGTACAATTTACCAGATTTTTGACGTTTAGTCTTACTAATGTGTAACTAGCTTAGATCCTTTCATTTTCATGGCTGTATAATATTACACTAGAGGAATATACTACAATTTATGTCTATTCTATTCTTGATGGACTGTTGAGTTGAGTCTAGTGTCATCATTTTGAACAATGCTGTTTCTTACTGTTCTTATAGTATGTGGGTAGGAGGTTTTTGGCCATAGGGGTTGGCAAATATGGCATGTGTTTTGACAAAATAAAGTGTTGTTGTAACACAGCCATGCTTATTTGTCTGTAGTTAGTTTTGTATGGCAGTGATAGAGTTGAGTGGTTGTGAGGGAGGCAGAAAATGTTTGTTGACCCCCATATGTATAAGGGGTAAAATTGCTATACTATGAAAGATGTGATAGGTAATGATGTACATAGCTTTTCAAATTGCCTTTCTTTGAAAACATTTTTTAGAATCAGTGTTTATTTTAGACTTAATTAATAACATTAGACTTTGGTCAGTGTGTAAAGAACAATGATTTATTCTTAACCATTAGTGAATCTGCATGGAAGAATTCAACAGAAGCCTTAATGGGAATTGTTTTGCCTTTGCTAGCTTCATGCTTTTCATCAGTCCCTCCGAGACCTCAGCAGTGAGCAAGTTCGTCTTGGCGAGGATTTCAACAGAGAGCTTTCCAGAAGGAGCCGGTAAAAGCAGAATATGGTTTCCAGGGGAGGCAGGAATTATTTTTATTATTTTTATTTTTATTATTATTATTTTTTATTTTTTTTTTCAGGAATTATTAAAAGAATGTTAGTTTCTCTAATTGACACATTTACATAGATTTTAAGAAACAGTGCTGTTTTTTAATTCAAGTATTTAAAAATTTTTAATATTATAGTTCAACACCCTTAAAATTTATAATATATCATGATTCAATGTTAGACAAGTTAATTTCATATTTTAAAAACACTTTGATACAATGGAATACTGACATTATGGAGAGATACATTATAAAATTTTAGCAAAGAAGTAGATTTGGAAATACCCTAGGGAGGCAAGGGTTGGGGAGACAGACCAGTCAGACATAAAGTCAGAGAACAAGACCAAGGCTGACTGGCTGCCATTTAGCTTTGCAGAACAAAACGTGTATGATGTAGAATTTGTCAATGGACATGAGCCATTGTAGAAATTAATACCTTAGGTTTTGTTTGAGTCTTTGAAAGCCAGTGGTTAATGTCAGCCTATCCTTTACAATTTGGTCTATTCTAGGTAATTTCTAAGAATGATGGTGTAATTTAGATCTTCCTCACTGTATTTTCATTTTTATTGTCGACAGTGGAAGGTTGCTTTATTTTGGAGTTCATATTTTTCTAAGAAACCAAGATTTTTATGCCTTCTTTAGAGGTACAGTCTATATACATCAATGACTAGGGAATGGTAACTAAGTTAAAGCTTGTTTCCACCATGTTCACTTGCTAATTCCAGCTACCTAAAACATATTGTATACCATTTCTAGTAGCAAAGAGTTCAAACTATAACTGTTAAATCTATCAGGTATAGCTTGTATAACTTACCTGCTTTTAGAAGAGGAAGGCAGGAAATTTAGTAATAGACATTGGACCCTACTATTACTAGTATTATTGGTACTACTAGTTAACGTTATTGAACACTTACTTCATGCTTTGCAGATTTAAATTTAACTCTTGCAAGAACTCTGTGAGATAGAAGGGGCAACAGAGATGAAATAACTCCATTTGCTATAGATGGAACATGAGAGATGTAGTGGAATGAAAATTCACATCCAGGCAGTAAAGCCCTACTGTCTTTGCTTTTTACCACTTACTGTGATTTCAGATTATTTTCACAAGATGATATCAGTAAAGCATTTTAATTGCTGAATTGTGAACCATATCATTAATCTTTAAACTTCTAAGACTTAGTTAATGTAATACTTAGATTTTTGGACCAGTTGATGAAATTAACAAAAGGAACTAAAATTGTAAGATAGTCTATTCTTTGGAATGGTTTTATCATGTAGCTTTTACACTCTTGATGGAAGGGTATACATTAAGCACTAGGAACATGCAGGGTAATTCATTTAATTAGTTTAAATGGTCATTTGGATGTGCATTGTTGTCCTGGGATGCTTTGGATATATAGGCTGCTACCATCTAGTGATAGTCTGTGTGACCCAGAGGCAAAGGTAAGGCAGAGAAACTTTGTGTAACCCAAAATACGAAACAAGTTTCTTGTGGAAACAAGGTGGTGTATCTTTGTGGATGAGTATGGTTTAGCTTTCTATTTGATTCTGAAAGGTTGGTATTCACGTTTAATTACTTCATACTCTTTTTTTACAGTGACATGAAAAAAGTATATTGAATTATAAAAATATGCTGCAAAGCAAGCTTTTAGAAAGGATTAAATAAAATTTACTTCAGAATTTAACCTAGACTAAATGCCTTATGAAGAATTTATTTGAGGAGGGTGAGTTAGAAGTCTGTTGCATTAGCATGTGAGACTTGAAGATGACCAGGGCATGACAAGAGCAAAGTGCATAGGTGTGTGTTTTAAGATTTCTTTGGTAGATCAGACTCAGAATTCAGTGATGGATTGTGTATGAGGATGGTAATGCTTCTTCCTGATTAGAGAAGATGAGTTGTGGAAAATAAGTTTGATCTTGCATATGTTAGGTTTGAGGTGCCAGTGAGGCATCCAAATGTAAATATAAAATGTGCAGCTAGATGTTTGTTTTGGATCTTAATGGAAAAGTCTCAGAGATATAAATTTTAAAAGGGATCAGTATGTAGAAGTGATATTTTAGACCGTGGGAATGGATGATATAAAGAGGAAAACCATAAAGAAAGCATCAAGGACGGAGCTGAGTGCTAAGGAGCTCTAATATTCAGCAGTTTTATATACGAGGAGACTCTGGCTTGAGAAAGATCAGCTAGTGAGATGTGGGAAATCCGAGAAAGCATGGACTACAAAAATCAAGAGAGGTAAAAATAAACATGTTTTCAGAGATTTAAAACCTTAAAATTTTATCGTTTAAGTTAACTTCTTTCTGAGGAAATTGCCTAAGGACATATAAATAAAATAAGATTATAGCCAAGAAAGAGGAAGATATGTATTGTAAGAAATAGTAAAACTATCCTAGGAATTTAATGAAAGCAACTCCAGAATGACAGCCATGTAGCAGGGCCCGCAGAGTATTCACTCTGAACTAGGGAGGAAAGTCAATGTCTTCTGACAAGAATTTAGTCAGAGATTGGAGTACCTTGTTCATCGATGGATGATTCAATGAGAAGTGGTAGGAAAACGTCAATGGACATGATAAATAAAACCAAAAGATAATAAGAAACTAGGAGGAACAGAGGCACAAGGATGTTATGATATAAGCATGAAGCTAAAACACGAGCATGATAGAATGAGCAAAAAGATGTCACTTTGACTGTTATTAAATAATTCATAAGGAATATAAATGTATTATGTAAAATTATACAGGTAACCAGTAGAACTAAAAGTAGCTATAAATTTATCCAGCACTGGACAGTAATGTGAGCTAAATTCTTTAAAAAAGAAGTCAGTTGATGTTTAGACTTGAAAATGAGGAAGATAGCAAAACAATTAAGAATGGAAAAGGTTGTACAGTACATGGTTGCCAGTAGGAAGTGGGTCCAAATATATGAGAGAAAGGTTTTTTCTTTCATTTATAAGTCTTCTTCTACTATTTAATTGTTTTTCATGTATGTCATTAATTTGGTGGGCAAATGAGGATAGAGCCAGACACAGGGTATGAGGTGAAGGTCCTCTTATTGTAGCAGTGGTTCTGAGTCGGGTCCTCATGCCTACAGTATCAGGTGCATTTGTAGAAATACACATTCTTGGGCCCTGTTCCAGATTTACTGGTTCAGAAATTTAGGGGTTGGGCTCCAGCCCTGTTTTGGCCAGCCCTATAGGTGTTTCGAATGTTTGTTTTTCGAGGACCACTGTAGCCCAGTGCCATATAATACCTTTCAGTTACTATGTTGTAAGTTTCACTAGTTCTGCATATTCTCTCCAGTATTCAACTTAAAATTTCTTTTTTTCTTTTCTTTTCCTTTCTTTTTCTTTCTTTTTTCTAGGTCAGATGCTGAAACAAAAAGGGCTTTGGAAGAATTGACTGAAAAACTTAATGAAGCCCAGAAACAAGAAGTGGTGAGCACCCTTTTTTTATACAAAGCTTTAATTCACTTGTAGATGGGAGGAAGGTGCCTGCACTTGTCAGAATCACAATAATGTTTAGCAGGATTTAACCTTTTACGTGTTAGTGGTATTTTGTCTAAAAAAGTACACTCATAAATTTTAGAAATTTGTTTGAAATATAGTAGTAGAAGTATAAGTACTATGTTACAGATAAAATTAATTGTAAATTTTTTAACTTACAGAGTTTTATGCGTTTGAAAAATAAAATGTTATTGGCTCAGTGACTCTTCCATAGCTTTTATTGAATGATATTTGAGAAATGTGGTATGTTTTTGTAATGACTGTAGTATTCCCTATTAGGTATTTCCACATCATTTCACATAAATATGTAGTAACTGTTGCTACGAAGACATTCTTGCTGTCTGTTTTTGTGTGATATTGTGCTAGTTGATAATTTCCTAATCCCTAAGTTTTATTATCTCAGACACAGATTGTGGATACTCATTATTTACTTATTTTTATCAAATCACTACCCTTGATGAAATTAAAATTTTACAAAGTGCATGTAGTGTCCTTTTTTCTGCTTCCAAATTTGAGAAAAATATTAACAAGTTGTCACTAACCTGGTTAACAAACTTGCCAATTTCAGAAGCAGTATGTATTTATTAAATTCCCCAAATATCTTTTACTTTTTCCAGATAAGGAAAGGTAGTAAAAATTTTTAACCTATTTTTTCAAATTGTAAGCTCCCTAGCAGATAATTTTGCTCTACTTTTTACTTACGTTTACAGTGCCTTACATAGATAGGCATCAACTCGGTTACTAGTATTTCTCTGAAACTTGCCCATTTGAAACACCTGGCTATAAGAAAGCACCTTTGTATGTATTATTGGTTCTAATTTCTTAGAGTTGTAGGAAGGTGAAGATATAGTGCCCATTTCCATTGAAGTAGAAAAAATCTTCACAGTGTCACATAAGATGTGATCAGAATAGATTATACTACATGTATTATACACACACACACACACACACACACACACACACTTAGAAATTTTTTCAGGTTCACCAAGAATACTTTCAATTTAAATTGTACCAACTTAAAATATCTAAAACATCATATACTTTGGAAAAAGTTCTTTTCTGAAAACATCGATGCTCACACGGCAACCAATCTGCCATTGTCTGATTTACATACTCATCAAATAGTTGAATGTACTTATTCAACTCTGAGGCCCCCTTTGCTCACTAAATGACACTGTGGCTCTTCTCATAAATTCTAGAGTGGAACCTGTCATTTGATAGGAGAAACTGCTGAAGTTTTGTTATCATCTTTTTAATTTAATTTTTAAAAGTTGGAAGTGTAATGTATATACAGAAGTATGTGTATCAGGGGGTTACACAAGGTGAGTAAGCCCATGTAACTAACCACCCGTAACTAGAAGTACTGTAGTACATTCACAGCACCCAAGAAGCCTCTTTATTGCCCCTCCCAATGACTAATTATGCCTCTCCATAGGCAACTGCTATTTTAACTTTTAACTTCATAAATTAACTTTTTCTATTTTGAGCTTTTCATATAAATGGAGTCATAGAGGATTTTTTGTATGTATGTCTGACTTTTTGTTTTTTGCTAAGTGATTGTGCTGTTTATGGATACTGTTTTATGTTCTTTAGTTTGTTCATTTTTATTGCTCTTTAGTATTCCGTTGTATCAGTGTACTGAAATATATTTTAACATTCCAAGGTATTTTAATTTTTAAAAATTTTGTGGTATTATGACCAAACTTATTGCTGTGACCAACCTTATTCAGTATTTTAGTGCATGTGTGCATATGTTCCTGTTGGTACATAAGATGGGTTGCAATTACTAGGTGCCTTCAAATTTAGTAGATACAGGCTCTCTAAGCTGTGACTGGCTAGGTGAGACAAGCAGCTTGAAGCTCCGCAGCCGTCCCGGGCCCCGCCCACGGCACAGTGAGGTCGGCTCCAAGGTCCAGCCCCCCCACCCCCCCCACCCCCGTGCGCCTCTGGCCTTCTGGCTTTTCTGCTACTTGGTGCCACACTACAGAGGCACAGAAGATTATAAAGACCCTTGTCCTGAGCTCCACAAGATAGAGCAGAAGTTAGTAACAGAAAGAGGGCTTCTCAGGCTCCTCGATGAAAACTGAAGCTCAGCAAAATGTAAAGAGAATCTCTACAATAAAGGCACATCAGACCACTGTACTTGGTCTGCTGCTGGCTTGCTGAGACTCATTGACTTGTATATGCACATGGATTCCTACGTTGTCTACTGTGACAGCAGAGACATACCCTGAAGGAGGCCCATAATTTCTATTGCTATTTGCAAAAAAGAAAAAACAACAACTTTTTTCTCTCTTATTTTTAATTATTAAGTTTTACTTTTTTCTACTCTTCATAGTTTTACTTTTCTTTCTTTTATCTTTTCTCTCTCTCTCTCTCATTCTCTTGCTGTCCCACATTGCTCCACATCTCCCCATTTGTTCCTTTCTGCACTGAATTCAGATTTCTCCCATATTGTTCTTTTCTTCTCTTTTTCCTTATCTTGATTATCATTAGGTTTAAAAGAAAGTAAATTCAGTATCTGGCCTCCCTGTTGTGTGAGGTGATTCTATTCAGATCTTTGTTCTTTCATTCTGCCTTTTTCTCTTGCCTTTAACAACTTCTTAGAGTTTGTGTGATCTTTCTGTGTCTTCTGGACTCACTGCTAATCTTACCTGTTCTTTCTACCTGTCCCTCCCCAGATCCTTGTAACTCCCCACCCCAAAGGGGAAAGATGCTATACTGAACAGTTTATTCATTATAAACTTATGTTGGGTTGGTCCTCGGTTTTAATTTAACTCACATAGTTAAAAGTGATAGATTAATAACTTCCACAAATTGTCATTTTCTAAGCTGTGCTTGATGCTCTGGTATTGCTGACTTTGTCATTTGGGCTAACATGTTGTGATTGATCTAAGTAGTTTTCCTTCCTGGTATAAGGAAAATAAAATAGCCTCAGAGTCATTAGAGTCTCAAAACCCAAACACAAGCTATATCTGGAAGACACCTCTGAAAAGCAATCATTCCACAAGGGTTTTAAACACAAGCAACAAAGATACCTACATTAAGCAATTTTGAACTATCAACCC